CGTATGACTTTTTTGCCCTGAAAAACATGCCTCCAAGTGGGGGGGTCGTCTTATACGGCGAGTATATAACAAACTCTATATTTTGAGTGGAAATGTTGGGGGCTCGTCTTATACGCCCAGTCGTCTTATACGCCGGCAAATACGGTAGTTCTCAGGAATGCTTTAACGTTGCGCTTCCTACATCAAGCAAGGACCCATCCTAATTGGCATCCAGAACCCTCTTTTAGATTCTTTGCATGGGGATCCTTCTAAATGCTGACATCTCAAATAGCAGAACATCTCTGCAAGGTAGCTGACATTCCCCTTCAAATTTGCCTCTTCCTTTTTAAAATCTCCCTACTTCAGTCACAGCATGTTAGTATGTAATGCATAATAGCAATTTTTTGCTGTCTTATTAATAGGCTTTCCCCAGTCAGTTACCTCCTCCCCTTCCTGGAAGAATTAATAAAACATGAAACAAACAAAAATAAAGCAAAACAATGATAGCTCACTGCCAAAGTAATAAAGGCTAATACGCCATCTGTAGAAGAAAAGGACCCATACATTTCTTTTAATTGTTATGTTGACCCTGGTATCGACCAGGATTAAGTTTGTTAAGTTTGATTTAAAACACGGGTGTCAAACTCAGTTGCACCATGTGACGTATCGTGAGGTATTGCAATGTTTTTTGCCTTTGTGGAGCCAGGGTGGGCGTGGCCTGCATGTGATGCATCTGGCCCACGGGCTGCGAGTTTGACAGGCCTGGTTTAAAATATCACAATAACTATACAGCAGCTGCATATAATTCTGCAATCAGTGTTAAGTAACATAGTACATACTTTCCAGCTGCTATTTGGTTTGCACCAGAAGAACACTAGGGGAAAACATGGGGGGGGGGGGAAAGTCTCTAAAACGTTCTGCAATTCTTCCTAGAACACATTTTAAGAGCAAAACTGGGTGGATTGACACCGATACAGTCAGTAAACCTCCCAAGACTTTGGAAACCTCAGCGAAATTTGAATTTAGAAGCCAATATTGTGGTTCCCAGAGATCTGTGGAGGATTAGACTGAATATTTGCACCAGTGCCTTTATGCTAGTGGCTGTCTTGGAGCAATTCTGCATGATAAGGCTATTCACAGACACCTGGACCTTCTGTGAAGGCTTGTTGGCTGGGTGAGGAAGAGCTAGGAGCAGAATGAAGCCCTGGAGGGGATCCTGGCCTGGTTCCTCGCCTTTGACCTAGTTCACTTTTGGAAGCATAGCAAGTCATTGCTGAAGCTCTTCTAGATATTTAAAGTTTTCTCATTTTGCTTCGCTTTTACTGGGTCTGAAGTGCAAATCAGATACTGAATTCTTTTATTGGGATTTTGTTGTGCTCATCTCAAGGCCAAGAAATTTGCAGTCTTTTTTTTTTTTACACTAATGCTTTCTAAGATGCATTGCAAATTTTATTTAATGCGATACTTTCCACTAGCAGAGAGAAGAAGTGGCCTTTAAGGTCTTTCCCATTCTAAATTTGTTAACCTGTTTCTGTAAGGACTGGATATTACAGCTACTGGATTTCCATGTGTGAAAACAATGTTACGCCTTAAGGGATGGTATGAGCTGTTAATAATACAGATATTGATAACTTCTGCATTTAGTCTACTAAGAAATCACTATTTTTCAGAGGTTAGATAACCCAGGAGAAATCAAAATAAAGCCCAACAAAACACAGTAATCAGCAGACAAAGTTGAAAAATATAAACCGTAAATAATAATAATCCATACCAATACTTGTAAAATATCTTTGTAGGAAGAAAATTCCTCCCTAGAGGAAAGGAATACAGGTAGTTCTTGAATTACTTTGAAGTTACAACGGCACTGAAAAAAATGAATTATGACTGTTTTTCACACTCACAACTATTGCAGCATCCCCATCAGTGGTGGGCTTCAATTTTTTTTACTACGGGTTCTGTGGGTGTGGCGTGGCTTGGTAGGCATGGCAGGGGAAGGATACTGTGAAATCCCCCTTCCCTCCCCATCCCACAAACCTGCTTTCCAGCTCCGTTCTCCTGTGCAGGGCAACAAAAGAAGACCCAGCCAGTCAGCTGGGACTCCAATCGGCTGAGACTCAGGAGGCAGCGAATAGATGGGATGGGGCCAACTAGAGGTGGTATTTACCAGTTCTCCAAACTACTCAAAATTTCCGCTACCGGTTCTCCAGAACTGGTCAGAACCTGCTGAATACCACCTCTGATCCCCATGATCATGTGATTAAAATTTGGGCTTATTTACAACAGTTGGAAAGTTCCGGGGTCATGGGGGTGGTGGTCACCATTTGTAACCGTCCCAGCTGGCTTCCGACAAGCAAAGTAAATGGGGGAAATCAGATTCACTTAACAACAGCAGTGAATCACTTAACAACTATGGCCAGAAATGTCGTAAAATGGAGCACAACTCACTTAACAACTATCTTGTTTAGCAACAGAAATTTTGGGCTCAATCATGGTCATAAGTCGAGGACTCCCTGTACACCACCTCACAACTAGCTCCCCATCTCTAAATGGTCTTAAGTGAATGCCTTATGATATCACCCTTGAAATACGTAAAATGAATTGATTTCGTATTTCTTTTCTTTTGTACCCTGCCTAACGAATAGCATTGTGGATGACGGCATCATTGTGTTAACTCAGCTACAAACACAAGTTGGTTCTGTGAAGCAGATTGCCTTCCCTATTTTCTTCTTCCCAGCCTTTGTGGCTCTTCGGATGTGTGAACTTTAAACTCCTTGAATTCTTTAGTCAGCACATTAGGAGGGGCCCAGACTGAGGAAGGCTGATTTTTTTAAAGTGTATCCATTTAGAGGCGTTTGTTTGTATGGTTTCTGAGTAAGCAAGCTTGTTTCCTCTTCTCCAGCATAATGGTAGTCCTCAACTTACAACAGTTCGTTCAGAGACCATCTGAAGTTACAGTGGCACTGAAAAAAAGTGCCGCTTATGACCATTTTTCACACTTACAACCATTGCAGCTTCCTCGTGGTCACATGATCAAAATTGGGACGCTTGGCAACCGGTTCATGTTTAGGGTGGTTGCAGTGCTCTGGGGGAGGAGGGAGGGGTCACCTTTTGCGGCTTTCTGACAAGCAAAGTCAATGGGAGAGCCAGATTTCCTAAACAACCATGTTACCAACTTAACAATTGCGGTGATACTGTGGCAAAAAAGTCGTAAGACGGGGCAGAACCCACTGAACAACTGTCTCGCTCAGCAACATAAATTTTGGGCTCAATTGTGGTCAAAGACTATCTCTAAGTTTCTCCCCAGCTTCTCTCTCCTCTTTTTTGAACGGCACGAATGAGTCAGTGGTGGGATTCAAAAATTTTTTTACTACTGGTTCTGTGGGCATGGCTTGGTAGGGCGTGGCTTGGTGGGCATGGCAGGGGAAGGATACTGCAAAATCCCCATTCTCTCCCCCCCCCACTAACCTGCTTTCTAGCTCCGTTCTCCTGTACAGGACAACAAAAGAAGACCCAGCCAATCAGCTGGGACTCAAGAGGCAGAGAATAGATGGGGGCAGGGCCAGTCAGTGGTGGTATTTGCCGGTTCTCTGAACTACTCAAAATTTCTGCTAGCAGATCTCCAGGAACTGGTCAGAACCTGCTGAATACCACCTCTGGAATGAGTGATAATATTAGGTTCTTAATGCTATTCCATGGCAGCCTCTCTCTCCACTGGGATTACCGTAATTCCCAAGCTGTGCAAGCGGCCTAAATCATTGGCAGCTGCTTTAAGATGTTGCACATTTAAACTTTGCTTTGGCTGTGCCTGCCCTTTTTATTATCACAATGTTTCTTCTTATGTTTGTATGCCTATTTCCTTCCTGATCCTACCTCTGCTTTCACGGACTTCCAATGCTTCCTTCAGCAACCAGATCTGGTTCAAATTCAAAGGGCTGCAAAGGTATTTTCAACAGGGGATCGACCCTTCCCTTTTAAGTAAGGAAACACCTTATTTAAAAGGACATTGTGTTGGTTTGTCACTTAACCAGACTAATCAATTACCAATTCCAGTCTAAACATCTGGCTGACTGTGTGACCAACCATAATAATAATAATAATAATAATAAAGTGGTGGTGCATTTCTTCCATGAGCTTTGTTACTTAGAGCAGGCATTCATTGACGCTTTCTGAAAAATAGTGTTTGATGGACAATAGGTATCCTGCAAAATAGGCTGTGGGTGTTTCTGTTTCTATTCTGTGTCAGTTCTGCATATTCTTACCCCTCATTCCATCCAAATTAATTTTCATATGTATGCAATGCATATTTAAATATGAATATGTCCCAAAGCATAAATGAAAAAGGTTATAATAATCCATTTATGGCATGGAAAACTGTGTGGTATTGTTTGAAGATGTACGAAACTGAATGGATAGCTTTGTGCCTTGTTCCAAAAATAATTTTGAAAAATAAAGTCCTGTTTCATTTATAGGAATGTGTTTGGCCTCAAGGATCCATGTTGGAAATCTGAATTGCCTCCCAGCAAATCTGAATCACAGTGAATGTAAAAAAATCATTTTGCTTTGGCAATCTCCATAAATAATTCTGCCAAATTTTGTTGTATCATCTTTTCTTGTATTTTCTAGAAATTCAAAGGAGCACAGTGTAACTATTGGGAGAAAAGAACCAAGACTGTTAGGGAACTTTTCTTTCTTCTCTTAACAATGTGCTACTTTTGAGATATCTTGGGATTGCAATTCCCAGAACCCTAGCCAAAGGTCATGCTGGGTTGAAAATGCTAGAATTAGGCTCCTCACTAGAGGACACCAGGATTGGAAATACTGCTGGAGGTCTGAGCTTTCATGAAGTTTTCTGGCCAACATCTAACACAGAACGTGCCCCCAAATAGAGATTTGGCCTAAGCCAATGGGTAGAAGGAACGGAAGCAAAATATTTTTGGAAAACTAGTAATAATGATGGATAGAGAAGGTAATTTGATCAAATGTAATCTCATTGATGTTTTATTTTGCTTTGTGTTTTCCAGGGAAGGTGATTGGTGGCTGGCTCACTCCCTCACAACTGGCCTGAAAGGCTACATCCCCAGTAACTACGTCGCACCTTCAGATTCCATCCAAGCAGAAGAGTAATTAAAATATTATAAATAGATTGAAAAGAATTATGCTAAGTCTTTTGCCAGATATTATTGGCAAAATTGTTCTAGTTATAACCTTTTGGGGGCAACCGTCAAATCATCTCGTAATTCTCTTAAACAGAGTTCCCGAGTATGTGACTTTCGGCTAGTTCACAAATATGTATATTCTCTAGATAACGTTCAGTGTCAAATGGTATGTTTACGGATGGTAGAAAGAATATTTAGTTGCAGAAAACACATTGTGTTTCAAGTGGATGAGTTCCCACATTTAGATTTACTTCAGATATAAAAGAAAATAGCAATAATCAAGAACTTTAGCATTTTTCTGGCATTTACTAAGGTGCAAATTTATCAGACAGCTTAAGCCATCCTTCATCTCAGGTATATTCTCTACTCATTTGTTAAAAACTATAAAAAACCATATAACCTTCTCAATATCAGAAATGAGATTGTTAATCTTATTTGTGATGGGAAGGCACTCCATAGAAGGAGAGTTCCAAGCTGATTTTGTTAGGTCAGCTTTGCAAATAAATAGCAATAGCACTTAGACTTATATACCACTTCACAGTGCTTTACAGCCCCCTCTAAGCATTTTACAGAGTCAGCATATTGCCTCCAAAAATCTGGGTCCTCAATAGCAAATTAGCAGGCATATTAATCTAGGGAACTTTTACAAGCTATAGGAAACTGATATATATTATTGGTCTCTCCCTTCAGGTCTAAGATTGAAGAGATTCTGGAAAATTGTGCTTTGTTTTTTATTTCATTACTAACGTTTTGTATAGGGAGAATCTTGAATGCTGAACTGGAGGAATCCTAGACACTTGGCAACTGGGGGTAGCTTCCAATGCAGATATATGAGTCTGAAAGAAGATGTAGTTGCTTTAATGATTGGAAGAGAGATCTTCATATATGCTTCTTTGAGATCTTCATATGTGCTTCCTTTTTTCAAAGGAATGGTGTTGCCTCCGCATTTAATGACATGCTGCCTGAAGAGAGACTACCTGCTGATACACATAATAAATTGATTTAGTTTCTTTTTGTAGTCATCTAAATCAATGGCCATCATCATAGCATCTTGTACCAGTGAGATAGACGGTCTTGATTTTGCATTATTATTGCCTTTCATCTGGCTGTATTTATGAATGGTTAATTTCAGAGCAGCAGAATGGCTTCTTCTACTAGGTTATTATATTTTATAGCACTTTGGTGTTTACTGCTTTCTCATTTAATGCTTCTGACACCAACTGGAAGGTTTAGAGCTTAATGTAAACATTGAAGTGCACAGTATAAAGTGATTAGATCAGATTAAAATATATTGGAAAAACTGAAGCTGGAACATGAACCTATCAAAGAAAAGGATTCCTAATATACATATAAAAAAGGAACTCTAATGCATCAGAATTCAGAGATCTTAGAATCTTATAAACTTTGGCAATATGAGCTCATAGAAATGCTGTGATGTTAATCCATCCCAAAACCCATCCCAAAATAGCATTTAATATTCTTCCACATTAAATTAAAATAATTTAAAATGTGTAAATTCTCAAAACCTGACATTGTTATTAATCTTGCTTTCAGATGATGCAATATTTTGAAGGGGCTTAAATCTAATGAGATTTTTTAATCATTGCCAATCTAGACTTTTGCTACTTAGAATGTAGCTGGAAAATACTAGCATTCTTTCCTGTTGACTAAAATTATCTTTGGAGGCTACATATTTATAGGAGAAAATATTGCAGACATATCTGCAGAAATGTTTGCAGTGATTTAAATGGGATCTCACTACATTTATCTGTATTCTACTACTGCAGGTGGTATTTTGGCAAGATAACCCGTCGAGAATCTGAACGATTACTGCTCAATCCAGAGAATCCCCGAGGGACTTTTCTGGCAAGAGAGAGTGAGACCACAAAAGGTAATAATCATTGGGAAAGAAAAGGATACTTACAGGAGAATGTATTAGAAACTCAGTCTTCCACTTCAATGGAGACAAATAGGATTCTCTCTCTGCCTGTAGAAGGATGTTTCCCAAACTTCTAAGGGCTAAACCACACTCTTCACCTACCCTCCACTATATTCAAACTGGGGATTATCTCTCATTATTTCTCATAAAAATTGGCGATTTCTTAGAGGTCATGGGTTGTAATTAACATTTTAAAAATATTTAATTATGCAGGAACTAAGCATGGATGTGTCCACATCATACACACTGGGGGAGCTCGCAGTTTCCTGTTGTTTTCTAAAGATGAGGAAGCATTTGGATTCTTTGTCTTTTAAAACTTGTATTAATGCCTGTGTTTACATTACACATTTTGCAGCTCCCAGAGCTTCCTGTCATTTTAAAGCAGAAAATGTAATATTTTCAGACTGCAGTAACTAGAATTGTTAGCTCTGAAGTATGAGGCAAAGGAACCCCATGGATCTCTCTTCTCTCTTTCTAATTATGTCATGTGCCTGAGACAATGAAAAGCAATTATCTGCAGCAGCTAATATGGGTTATCTTAGTTTAAGAATGATAAACTATTGCAGCTATGTAAATAATAGTTAAACTTGTTTTTAAATGTAGACAGAAGTAGAGTAGAGGAAGATTTCAGACTTGGGGTCTTGGAGCATGTATTGTCTCTCCAAGGGTCTTTTTTCGTGCCTGATATACAATATAATGGCAGGCAGTAATCACCAGAGGTGTGCCATTTCTTATGTTAATAGCATACTTATTGTCCCTACTTGTCCATTCTATCTAGATACATGCAGTTGGTTCTGTCAAGGGGACTACATCCTCTCTATCTCCCTCTTGTATACTGGTGTGAAGGGTGGAGAACTGGATGGGATTTAAAAGTAAACAGAGACTTCAATCCTGTACTTCTCTTTTTTGTAAAAAAAAATACTGTAGAAACTAGGTCATTGTATGGGGAAATAGCTGGGTAACTAATAGCAACAGGAAACTCTGGTTTCTCTTTCTACCCTGTCAAGGAGTGTTTGTTACATTTATGAAACAGGTTATAGAGATTGTGTTTGTGAGTAAAAAAAAACAGCAACAAAAATGTGCATGTACTAGCCACAAAATCTGCACAAGCACAGAGTTGACAGCATTATCCATATATTGCATTTTTCTAATAGTGAAACACACCTAGAATTGTAAAGTGTGCATGTATATCATGGTCTCACATATGCATTTTTAGAGAAAAATAATAACAGTGGCACAAATTTCAGACTGCTGGGAATCTCAGCTTTTGGTCTGAGTGTTTTTTAAAATCAAGTATTGTTTGTAGCTGATGTTGATTTGGCACAAGAGATCATACGACATTCAACATAGAATCTTCAAACCATTCATTTGCCTGAAATTATTCATTTACAGTGAGTTGGATCCAGACAAGCTAGTTATAGGACTCAAAGTTATCCATGAGTGTTTTGTCTTATAGATAAAAAAATAAAATATGCCTAACTCTGTATTTAATCCAAATTCCCAATGAAAATTATTCAAAATGGATATTAAATATCCTTTTACAAAAGAGGTCACAGAATACGAGTGTTGGTATGATATGAATAAAAAGATTTTGCCCATTAAAAAATTATTTATAAATGCTAAACAGCAGTATTAGAAATCTGTTTTCCTAATTATTTCTGAGACCTTTACAAGTGTTTCTATGCATTTCGATGTTAATAATTTAGATCATATTATTAATTGTGGTCAAGGTGTTGCTCATGGCTAGATTTTGAGATGACAATACAAATCATTGAGGCAACAAGGATCTAATTCAGAATTGTATAGGTTTTACAAACCTTTTAGAATTCTGAATTTTGTGTAATACGCTAAAACTGATACCACAGTCATATTAATAGAGCAGCACTTTTTCCATTTAATTGGAGCACTGAACTAACAGCAAAGGAGAAAGTGGTTTTCCCTATAGATATCTTCCGCTTAAGAGTTGTAGCAAAGACCTGCCATCAAGGCCTTCACTGTCAACCCCATACAAATTAGCTGGTGAAGTTTGATAGGATCTGAATGAAGACTGCAGGCCATAATTAGATCGGATGGGGTTTCTAGGTTGCTTTCTTCAACAATGTCTCTTCTGCATTCCCCTTCCCCAGATCTTAATCCTGCTGTGAAGCTGCTATCCTGGTGACTGTAGTATTAATATCTGCTTTTATATAACTGGGATCAAGACATTCTGCTTTGACAGATTTGCTTATGTATGCATTCAGTATTTTCCCTATTCTAAAATGGCATTGTGACATGGAATCAGCAGCTTGCATTGTATACAGACATGTAATATATATAAAACATATGACCTAATTGCATGTATGCTTTGATGTGAAGCCTTGAGTTATTTGGAGATTAGTGTTTTTTTCTCCAGGATTGATAATTTTTTTAGGAAGGAAGGAAGGAAGGAAGGAAGGAAGGAAGGAAGGAAGGAAGG